GAAGTAGTCGACAAGGTCGCTTTCCACCCGCTCGTCGCCGACGAGCTCGCGGCCCCCTGCGAAGGTCGCGAACCCCGCGACCTCCGACTGACATCGCTCGAGGACCTATGGCGCAACCGAGCTCTCCTCCAGGAAACCGCTGACACCGATGGCCGCCGTCGCGAGGGTCGTCTCCAAGAAGCGCCGCCTCCGCTGACGGCCAGGGCGCCGCAGCACCGCCTGCCTCGCGGAGTCTCGCTCGGGCTTCTCCTCAGCGCCGGCGCTGCTGCTGTCGTCGGCGGCGGCCAGCCTCGGCGCGATCGCCGTCTCCGTCTCCTCGGGCAGCATCGCCTCCCCCCGCGCGCTGCCCAGGCGGTCGCGGAGGGCCAGCTGGGTCCCGAGCGTGCTGAGCGCGGGGCGCCTGGCCCACGCCAGTGCCCGGCGACCCCTCTGACTCTTGGCGGGGCGATGCTCCGGCGGCGGAAGGCTGGCTCGGCGCTTCCGTTGGCCACGGCTCACCACACTGACATCGCTAGCGTGCATCGACCGAACATGGACTATGGATTGGGGGAAAATCGCGGGACCGAAAAGCCACGGAAGAGGCGGAGCAGCAGGCAGCAGCATCGGCGGGGAAAGGTATCGCACGATGGCCGCGGGGTTTTTCGTTGCCTGCGACGCTCAAACTCACAATAATATCATCCACCAGCGTTTTGCAAGCACTACTGTTCTCGAAAATCCTCGCGACTCGTCGGAGAAACTCACAGCTCAGAGGGGGCCCAACGCACGACCCCGAGGACGTTCCTGGCGAGGCAGTAGGCCTGGAAAATCCAAATCTGTACCAGAAGCAAAAAGTTTCTCGCGCGACTCCAACCGACTGCGAGGGTGACCGACATATTGTCACACAAGAGGAGCTGCCTGGCATTCCTGACATGCACGCCGGTCGCAACTCGAATGGGACCTTTTCACGAGAGCCCAAGCTTCTTTCACAAGGACCCCCTCCGAACGACTCCATATCTGGACTCCCACAAGACGCCGCAGATCCGATTTCAACAGATGAGCGGGCACCTCAAGGAAAGAAAAGAGCTGCCGCCCACTCCGCCGCGGCCACCTGGGCAGTCTCGGCCCCCCTCTGCTCCACGGCGCCCAGAGCAAAATGCCCGCTCGCGACGGCGGCCCAGCTGCCATCGCCTTGCCGCTCGAAGCCCGCGGCCTCAAGCGCGCGCTTGCGAGCACGGCGCGAGCCCACGCGCTTGAACTGGCGTCTCTCGGGAACACGCCCCACTTCTTGCACCGCCCGTGTAGGCCAGAAGGCCCGCGCCACGGCGCAGCCCTCCAAGCTGCCGCAGTCCGCACGACCGGGGGGGTCCAGTCCTGGAGCCAGTCGCTCGCCACGAAGATCATCGGGCCCCTGAGGACCTGCAGCTCAGCGCGACATTCGGCCCGCAGCACCTGGCCGAGCCTGCCGCGCGCCCGCGCTCGACGAGGGCGCAGACGGAGCGGGGAGGGCACAGCAGGCCCCGGCTGCGCAGCGCCGCGAAGATACAGTGGCCCAGCACCACCCCCAGCGACCGCGCGCTGGCCCTCCGCCGCCGCAGCAACGCGCCCAGCGCGGCGCGCCGTATCCAGAAGCGTTTGGGGGCCACGCGCGCGCGGAGGGCAGCGCCGCCCAGCTCCGTTCCAAGCGCGGCAATAGCGCCGCGCGACATGTCGGATCTACGCAGAAGCAGGCCCTCGCGGTTGAAGCCCTCCTGGAGCTGCTCCAGGACCAGGCCCGCGCGCTCCTCGCACACTCCGATGACCCCCAGGTTGTCCACATACACGCAGTGGCTGAGGAGGGGCCCCTCCTCGGGGCGGCCGGGCGCCCCCACCAGCGGCGGCCCGCGGTCGTGGAGCGGCGGGGCCTGCAGGGGGGCCGCAACTCGCTGGGCGGTCGTCTCGTCAATAAGCTGGGCGACCTACAAGGCCCGGGTAAAGCCCATCGGCAGCGCAGCCCAGCGGGAGCTGACCGCCTCGGCGCGCGCCAGGCGGCGCCCCCCCGCGTCGGCCCCCGCCACGCCCACCACGTGGGCCAGGGCCTCGGGGGGACAGAAGTAGTCGGACAACCAGGCCAGCACCCGCAGCCCCACGGCCAAGCAAAACTTACCCAGCAACTCCGCGGCTCGCGCTGACCCCGGCGGCGCCTCCGCCGGCATTTCCACCTCGATACGGGACGGGCCCTCCGAGCTGAGGAGGGGCGCTCCAGGCGGACCCCTGAGGCACTCATTCGCCCGTCTCGCGCCCACTATCAAACGCTGCGCCGCCCCGCCGCCCTTCCCCGCCGCAAAGAGGCCCACCTCGCACATCGGGGCGGTCGCCCAGGCGATGATGCCGACGCCACTGCGACGACGGAGCAGCCGATGAAATCCCCCCCAATTGAACCTCAGCATTGGATCAAAGTAGGGGACCGCGCTGCATTCATCTATCGGGGGCGCCAGCATGCGCCCACGATAGCCAGATATCCCGGGACCTCCGCGAGCGCCACGTCCGAGATCAGCGGACACCCACTCACCGAGTCGGGAAGACTCACGAAGTCGAGCTCGAGGGGCGCGACCCCCGTCGGACCCCCAGCCGCCTGATACGGCGAGCGCCCCCGAAGCAGCTTCTTGAAAGCCGCCTCGTCGGAGCCGGTGGAGGGGCGCGGACACTAGCTCGAAGCCGACTCGCACGCCTTCCGCCGGACGTCGGCCCGCGCATCGCCCGGCACGACGTCTGGGCCGTGATCTGCCACCAAAAAGCCCTTCAAGCTCGCCATACTGGTAAGGGCCCGCAGCGCGTCGTTCGCCGGGGCCCGCTGACCGCGGCACCCGCCTGCCCCGTCGGCCGCGGGGGGCAGCGAGGGGAGCGGGAACAGGCTTCGCAGTCGCCGCGAGGCCGCCAGTCCGGGGCGGCCGCCAGCCCCCTGATCTCGGCCAGGGTCGGGGGACCCCCTGGCCATGGCCTCAGTCATGAGACGGGGGGAGGGCCGCCGCCGCCGCCGCGGCCCCCTCGGCCACGTCCGCCAGCACCTCGCCCTCCCCCTCCCCCTCGTCCGTCGTCAGCGCGGCCGCTGCCGCGCCCAGCACCTGCGCCGTGACCCTGGGCGCCCTCTGGCCCGAGGGTCGGCGCCCCGCGCAGGGTTTGCTGGCCCTCGCGGCCCTCGCGGATCCGGCGCGCCACGTGAGCCCGCATGGGCTGGCCCGCGACGTCCTCCGCCGACTGCGCCCCCGTGCAGTACTTCGCAAGCTCCCACTGCACCCCTTTGCGGGTTAGCGCGGGCAGCGACGATCCCCGCCAGCCGCTTGCAAAGCACCTCCAGCGCCATGAGCGCGCCCAGATCCACCTGGTCGTAGCAGCCCGCGACGTACAGGGCCTCGCATATGCGGCGCAGCTCGTGGGCCACGCGGTCCGCGGGGGCAAGCCCCTTTTCGCGCAGGTACTCCCGCGGCCACGGCCGCGGATCCCCGCCCACCCTCAGCATAGTCTTACAAGCGGTGAGCGCGATGGGCGGGGAGTCCGAAGGCTGGTCGCTGCACTCCTCCTGGGAGCTCTCCTGCACCGCCTCGCGCCAAGCCTTGAGGCGCTCGCCCTGGCCGTCGAAATCGACCGCGAGCACCCTGACGTCCTCGCTCTGGATCGGGTTCGCCGCGGCCTCCCGCGCAGGGGAGCGAGCAGGCGGCGGCAGCGGCGGCGGGCGGCCCACGCTCGCGAGCAGCACCCGCACGCGGCGCAGGTCTACCTCGCTGCCGATGGAAGCCGCTTCCGTAGGCTCCGCCAGGACCTGAGCGTGCCCAGGGCGCCGCGAAGCCTCGACCGCCTCGGGAAGGGCGGCGGGCGGGGTCGGGGTCGCCCCGGCCGGGGGCGCGCCCTCCAAGGCGGCCCCGTCTCCAGCATCCAGGACCTGCTTGCCCCGCAGCCGACGGGGCGGGAAGGCCCCGCCGGAAAACAGCGGGATGCGCATCCGTTCGCCGCCTGGCTCCTGCACCTCCAGCGCCTCCAGGACGCGCTGTCCTGCCCGCATCTCCTCCTACCAGGCTTGGCGGCCTCGCAGGATGCCCTCGCGCAGCTCGCCTGGGCCCATCCGCGCCGCGAAGCGGTAAAGCTTGCGACGCCGTCGGCCAGGGGGCCGACTCCCGTCCTCGGGCAGCGGGTAGCACACCGTCGACCCATCCTCGGGGTGAAAATACGCACCTCCGTCAGGAGTGCGAATCCACCACACGACTCCGCCCAGGGAGTAGAGGGGCAACCTCTCGTGATCGACGTCGTCGCCGTCATATCCCATGCCCACGTACTGGCCAGGCACCTCGTCACTGTACCACTCCTCCTCCCCGACGAAGGGGAGCAGCGCCATTCGCCCCGAGTCCCGCAGCTTCGCGCCTGCGGCCCCGACAGCGCCCGATCGTGTGACCGAGCACGCTGGTCAGCACCAGCGGCCCGAGCGCCAGCAACAGCTGGCCGCCCAGGACGACCCCCCCCCGCCTCCCGCGCAGGCACAGGCGGGGCAGGCCAGGCAAGGGGGTCGGCGGCGGGCAGATCCCCGCGAGCCACTCCGGCGGTCCAGAAGGGCACCAGCCTCCCGCGAGCCACTCCAGCGGTCAGATCCCAGCGAGCCACTCCGGGCGGCCCAGCAGGGCACCAGCCTCCCGCCGTGGCCTGCGGCGGAGGGTGGGGGCCAGGCGGGCCCGCAGGCGCACGGGGGCTGCTCCGCCGCGCGCCAGCCCGCCAGGAGCAGCCCCAGCGCGGGGACCGCGAGCGGTGACCTGGGCGCGCCCGCGCCCGGGATCATCGGCGCCTCCCCAACGGAGAGGAGGCTTGAGCATAGATTATGGCAGCAGGAGACATCCACCGCACGAACGCCCCTCACCTCCCCGTGCAAGCACGCACGTACATCTATACACATATGTGTAGCATGTGTGTATACCTCCGTTCCGCCTGCTAGTAGCATAATGGCTGCACCTCTCCCAACTCCGCAAGCAAAAACAGCAAAGAAGCGCGGTGCTCGCGGCCTCGACGTATCTTCCGGAGGCCTCCCAGGGGGGCACACGCGGAGAAGGCGCCACGGAGAAGAGCATCGCCGACGCGCGCCAGAAAGCCGAGCGCTAGCCCGGCCGAAGCCCGAGCGGGAGCACGCCCCCAGACCTCCAACGCACTGGAACGGATCCTGGCGAAGAAACCAATCCATGGGCGGATGCGAGTGCAGTAAACCCGTACACCCTGCGAAATGCTTAAGAAAACATGGGTTAAGAAATCCATAGTCTCAGAACTTGAATAAAAAACCCAGCAGTTCTTAGCCGAAAACTTGGGTTTTCTTAAGCATCGCCTGGAGTGTATAGTAAGGATACGCGATAAGGAGGCAAGGGCCTTGGACACCCATGTCGAGGCTTTTCGAACGGGGCGCGGCCAACGAAAGTGGCCAAGGATGGACCGAGGAGACAAGGCTGCAAGGGTACCCTTGGGCAGGTTGCCCATCCTGACTATGCGGGTTGACTGTACCGCAAGACAGGTGGGACGAAAGAGGGGCAACTCCCTCTATGTATGGAGAACGAACAATGACATAAACATAAAAACTCCGAGGTCCGCGTTGATTTCTCGGAACCGCGCTGAACACCCCTCCATGGCGTGCAGAGCGCGCCAGGGGCACCGCCAGGGGCGCCGCCAGGGGCGCCGCCAGGGGGGTCCAGCGCGGATCCGAGAGATCCGCGCAGACCTCCAAGTTGATATGCTTATGTCAATGTTCGTTCTCCTACAATGGGGCCACGGAACGTGTGAGGAACGTGCCGAAGTGGGTGCGGTGGTGCCATGCGGACCCTGCCGCTGAGGCCGTCGGTGGAGCTCCTTACAGGGGACCACGAGGAGCGTGAGTGGTGTGCCAACACGGGTGCGATGGCGCCAAGCGGACCCTGCCACTGGGGCCTTCGGTGGAGCTCCCTTGTGCGGCCACGAAACGTGAGGGGTGTGCCGTAATGGGTGCGGTGGCGCCATGCGGACCCTGCCACTGGAGCCTTCGGCGGAGCTCCCTATGGGAACACGAAGACTGTGAGGGGTGTGCCAACATGGGCGCGGTGGCGCCATGCGGACCCTGCCGCTGGGGCCTTCGGTGGAGCTCCCTATAGGGGCCACGAAGCGTGTGAGGAGTGTGCCGACATCTGACACTGGGGCCTTCGGTGGAGCTCCCTTGTGCGGCCACGAAAAGTGCGAGTGATGTCCCGAACAGTGTGCGGTGGCGCCATGCGGACCCTGCCACTGGGGCCTTCGGTGGAGCTCCCTATGGGGCACGAAACGTGCGAGTGGCATGTCAACAAAAAATATAGTAGCGCCAATGCGAACCCCGCCACTGAGACCTTTAGCGGAGGCAAAAAAAACGTGTGAGAGGTGTGCCACCATGGGTGCGACGGCGCCGAGCGAACCCTGCCACTGGGACCTTCGGTGGAGCTCCCTTGTGCGGCCACGAAACGTGTGAGGGATGTGCCGCAAAGGGTGCGGTGGCGCCATGCGGACCCTGCCACTGGGGCCTTCGGTGGAGCTCCCTATGGGGCCACAAAGCGTGTGAGGGGTGTGCCGCAATGGGTGCGGTGGCGCCATGCGGACCCTGCCACTGGGGCCTTCGGCGAAGCTCCCTATGGGTCCACGAAACGTATGAGAGGCGTGCCGAAGTGGAGCGGTGGCGCCATGCGAACCCTGCCACTGGGGCCTTCGGTGGTGGCGCCATGCGGACCTTGCCACTGGGGCGGCCTTCGGTGGAGCTCCCTATGGGACCACAGAACGTGTGATGGGTGTGCCGCAATGGGTGCGGTGGTGTCATGCGGACCCTGCCACTGGGACCGTCGCTGGAGCTCCCTGCCGAACAGGATGCGGTGGCGCCATGCGGACCCTGCCACTGGGGCCTTCTGTAGAGCTCCTTACGGGGCCACGAAACATGTGAGGGGTGTGCCGAGAAGGACATGGGAAGGCAAAGGCAAGAACGGGATGTCGTCGTCGTCGTCGCCGCCGCCGTCAACGTCGTCGCCGTCGTCGTCGTCGCCGCCGACGCCGCAGCCGGCGCCGCCGCCGCCGCCGTCGTCTTCGTCGTCGTCGTCGTCACATCTGGGGGGGGGCTGTGGCACCCTGGGGCCCTGGGGCCCGTCCCAACTTGGGGAAGGGGCCTGTGATGCCTCGACACGGGATCATACATGGGCTGTTCCTGACTACCTACCAGACCACCCGAACCCAACCCGAAGACCCGAATTTGACCCGAATTTCGGGTTGTGGGGGGTACGGGCTCCATGTGATTTTTCGACGTTCCCCGACCCCCCCCCACTGGAAGTGGAGGGCAAATTGAGGCCTTCGGGTTGGGTTGGGGTGGTTTGGTAGGTGGTGAGTTCCATTCGAGACTCGCAGGACCTAGCCCTACCTGGGAGGGTGGGCTGGTGGGGCTAGATATCATGGCCCAGTGGGGATGGGCACGGGTTGGATGACCTGTGTTGGTGCGTTCTGGGGGCGCTCTTGGGCTCTCCGGTCGCGGTGTTGGAGCTCCCCTGGGCAGTCTACGAATCCCTGGGGGCATCGTGGGCTGAAAGTCTTGGGCCTTGGCGCAGCATTGGTGCGACCTGAGGCCGCCCTGGAGCCGTGCTGCCCGCTCTGGACGCCTCACTTGGGCCACCGGGGCGCAGGCAGAGCCCGCTTGGGCCCCCTGGAAGCCCCTGGGCCCCTTCTCCTCCCCCTCCTCCTCCTCCTCCTCCTCCTCCTCCTCCTCTCCTCCTCCTCCCTCCTCCTCCTCCTCCTCCTCCTCCTCCTCCTCCTCCTCCTCCTCCTCCTCCTCCTCCTCCGCCTCCGCCTCCGCCGCCTCCGCCTCCGCCTCCTTCTCGAAGCCGGCCTTCCTTGAGCCGGCTCGGGGGCCGGCTGGCGCCCCTGCAGGGCGGAAATACTCGATCGGCTGGCTTCGCGGCCGTGGGCTCACAGAAACCATACAAGTTGCGACGCGGGGAAAACCGTGGGTACTGGTACTGCTACTCCCCAGACCTCTCCCAGGGCCTGCTCTGACCAGGAGTTCGAGGCGAATCCAGCCGTGGCGACCAGGGACTCCATGGAAAGAAGCTGAAAACGAGGGAAGGGCAGCGCTTTTCCTTCTCCGTGTGTGGGCACGGCGGCCCTGTCCAGAAATCTGCACCTCGGCCAGTGGAACGCGCAGAACCGCCGGCCGACACACTTCGGCATGAGATCGGAGCGTGTGGAAGCTCCTCCCGGAGCGGTCAACTCGTGAGCTTCATCCCTTCCCCGCACCCCCGTGGACGCTTCGCGCTCTCCGCTGCCAACTCGATGCCTCCAGGCAGGCCTCGACAACGGACCAGGACGCCTCAGGCTGGCCTCCTCCTTCTCCTGCCCCTCCTCCGCCTCCTCCTCCTCCTCCTCCTCCTCCTCCTCCCCTCCTCCTCCTCCTCCTCCTCCTCCTCCTCCTCCTCTCCTCCTCCTCCTCCGCCTCCGCCTCCGCCTCCGCCTCCGCCCCTCCTCCTCCTCCTCCTCCTCCTCTCCTCCCTCCTCCTCCTCCCCTCCTCCTCCTCCTCCTCCTCCTCCTCCTCCTCCTCCTCCTCCTCCCCCCTCCCTCCTCCTCTCTCCTCCTCCTCCTCCTCCTCCTCCTCCTCCTCCTCCTCCTCCTCCTCCTCCTCCTCTCCTCCTCCTCCTCCTCCTCCTCTCCTCCTCCTCCTCCCCTCCTCCTCCTCCTCCTCCTCCCCCCGAGCGGCTCGCAGCCGGGTCGGGCTCAAACCAGGCGCTCGCGAGTCCTGCAGCGAGCCCCAGGGCGCCTCTCAGCCTTGCCAACCCCTCTGTCCGGTGGCAAACCTGTCCATGCTTAACCCATGTGTGGACGAATCGGGACCAGCACCAAGAGCTCAACGCGCGGGCCTCCATCCACAGCTCGGACTCAACCTGAGGCACCGGTTCAGATCACATGTTGGACAATAGAAACGAATGCGAGCACGTGCATGTCCATTCGCCTGTGCCTACACATGACACTGCGCGCGTGTGTGCCAATGCACGTGCTGCTGGTTTACCTGTACATGGACGCATGCTTGCAAGTGCGCATGTGCACTCATTCTGCTTTCCGCGCGCAGAAGAACGTATGCACCAAAAAAGCGATTGCGAATGCTAAAACAAGCTGAGAGACCAAGGCAAAAGGTCCTGTCCCCATGTTACTGTTCGCTTGCATGTTCCTTCCCATGTTCTGGAAGCACGGCTAATCAGAGAACGCAGGTAAGTTATTGCCAAGAACTCGCGAGAAGAACATGACTCAAGGGCCATGCGCACAACCAAATGCTGTGATTGCCCGTTTCTCAGCCGTCTCTCGCCTCGCTCTCTCTTTCTGCAGTCGGGCGCGGCCGGTCCAGTCCCTTATCAGCGAGGTTGACTGGCTGACTGACAGACGGACGGACCGACTGCCTCTCCCAGGCAAGTTGGCGGTAGTTTCAACTGCTGGAGGTCAGGCCGCTTTCGTTGCAGTTGTGGTCGGGGCCGGCGGATGCGTATGGCATAGCTGAACCACATCAAGGAGGCACTTGAAAGGACGTGTACTCACAGGTGGTTTGGGAGGAATGACAGCCTGAGTCTGCGACCGAAGATGTATGGATAGCAGCTTGACCGTTGGTGGGGGGAGAGCTTTAGCCTGGCAGGTGGGTATATATGCTGTATGTTAATGGCCATTCGTTGCAGCCCGCAGGGTGAAACTATTTGGATCGCCGATCCTTGGCGGGGGATGAGACGCGGTGTCACTCGAAGCCAGTTCGTCAAGTGCCGTCGCGCCCATCTTCCCCTCCGGGCTCGAGGCCCTGATGCAAACAGCGTCGGCTGGATACCACGGAGCACCCAGGTCAACCAGGCCTGGACAGAAAAGACAACCCCTATGCGGGCACGAATGCTCTGGTCAGCGGTGGCCCATCTGCTCGCGTGCAAACGGTAGCGCTGGTGCGCGGGCACGCGCAGCTGGACAGAGCGAGTTGCGCAGGGCAAAACGCGCCCACCCCGCGCGTAACAGGGCCCACTAGAGGAATCCCACCAGCCCTGCAGGACGCTAGTAGTTTAGAGAGTTTCCTCTTCCATCTTCCCTCTTCCCCTTCGGGGAGCGGTTTATCGCTGCTTCATATAATATATATATATATATATATATATATATATATATATATATATAAATATATAAACACAAAAAAATCCCTCAGACGACGGGCAGCCAACCAGGACCAATGAGATCCCCCATCTCTGTCAGAAAACAATGCAAACTCCACGCTTGGGCAGAAGATTGGGTCATAATCGTTGGCCCCGCGAGCACTGTGTATTGTCTTTTGACAGGGGCGGCGGGGGGGGCTCATACTGCCTGCTGTTCGCGTGACACCACCCGACTCGCGGCTAAATCTGGATCGCGCGTGGCCACCCCGCAATCACTCCCCAGTAGTTCTTGACAAGGGCGGCGGGGGTGCTGGCACATTGCCTGCTGCGCGCAGGCCAAGCAACACACAGTGCGGGCCTTCCCTTCGCGATTGCGCCGTGGTTTCCGACGGGGATGGTGGGGGCTTGCTGTCACGCGCGCGGGCGCACATGGCACACTCTGCGCGTGCCCCGAGCGTGGCGCATCTGGCGCGGCTGGACCACACGACACAGGTGGCGCACGTGCAGCACGTGGCGCATCTGGCGCGCCAGCCGTGACTGGCACGCTTGGGCCCCAGGGGTGCCTGGCGCGCCTGGTGCGCCTGACACGCGTGGCGCAGCTCGCCCCAGCGTCGCGCACATGGGATCTGTGTTGGTTTCCAAGCTGCCCATGCATAGACGACCGCTGAGCATGCTGAGGCTCGGGTGCTACTCGTGTGCTGGGAGGGCGGGTGGGAGTGAGCGAGGCAGCTTGCGCTCGAGGAGGGTGTCTTGACCCCTCCTCCTACCCCCTCCCCTTGGACCTGGACGGGGCGTTTCGCGAGGGGTTGGAGCGTCCAAGGGGGCCTCGGCGACAAGGCCAAAATCATTGATGTTACGACGGTTTTGGCCACATGTCGGCCTCCTGGAGGGGGGACGTTACTTGAGTACCCTCCTTATTTGATCGATCACCTCCAAGATGGCCCCAAGACGGCCCCCGAGGCTCCCAAGAGTGCCCCAAAAGGGCCCAAAGAGGCGGTCAGGAGGCCCCAAGAGGCGCCCCGAACACACACCCGAGAGGCTCCCAAGAGACCCCTCAGAGACTCCCCCGAGGCACCCAAGATGCTTCAAGAGGCCCCCTCCTCCTCAGGTTCCTCCTCCATCCTACCCCTCTTGGGGTATGACGGCTTCCCAGCCTTTATTACACTGCATGCTCCCCCACATGTCTGATCAGGGCAATTCGCCTGGGTATCGTTTCTGGATGGGCCGATGGGGTTACGTAAAGTATCTAAAAGAAAAACTGGCTTGAACATAAACTCTCGGAGCTCCGCGTGAGATTTTCAGATCGGCGCTGGGACCTCCCGTCCGGCGCCGCCCCCAGAAATCCGCGCGGCGTTTCGAAACTTCATGCTCACGCAGGTTCTTTTTCGATCTATGGCCCTGCTCAACGCTGAGTGATCGCCTGAGGCCGCCTCGGACGAGCTCCTTTGTTTTTGACTGCAACGCCCACACCGACCCACGGAGGGAGCTGGCCGGCAAGCCTGCCACTGGACCGTTGTCGCCCTGACTCGCAACAACACGGATGCTCCGAGCCACGAAAACAAGAACGGGGAGTCGACAGGCCGCTGGCGCGCGGAGCGAGAGGCGCGGGCGGTGTCGCCAGGGGGCTCCAGCGCATATCCCAAAAATCTGCACGGAGCTCCCAATGTTTATGTGTGTCGTTGTTTTTTCCTCGATTGAACGCACGAGGCCGCCTGGAGCAATCCCTGGGCAGACGAGACGAACCAGCTCGCCGGAGCTTGCGCGGCGGGCGCGGCGACTGTCCGCGAGTTCGATGCCCCAGCCTGCCGTGCAACCGCGCAGGCACATCGCATATTGGCGCAGTGGACACTCACCAAATTCAACAGAACGCTTGTCCCCCTCCTGGTTGCAGCGCCTGCAGGACCCCATCCAGCGGAGAAGTATTGCTGAACACGTTGCAAACCACGATGATGAACATGATTACCACTAGCACTCTGCATAATGATTCGCCTTCGTTGCATGCGATGCCGGGTGCCTCCTTAGCGCTCTATGACCTCTGTCTTCGCCCACGCGCCTCGGCGTATGGCCCAGCGCAGCGTAGCTTGGAGAGAGCGCGCCCATGGCGCACCCCCAAAGGGGGGGGGGGGGGGGGCACTCCCTGAGCGACCCTCCCCCCTCGGACCTGCCCTGCCGGAAGCGCCCCCCTCTCCTGTGCTGCTCGCCCCTCGGAAGCTACCCCCCCCCCCTCCCTCCGTTTCGCGCTCCAGAAGCGAGCCCCACCCCCCCCCCGTCCCCTTCCAAAGGGAGGGGGGGAGACTGAGCTGACCCCCCCCCTTCCCCAGCCGAAGCCCCCCCCCTCTCCTGTTGATCCGCCCCTCGGGAGCTACCCCCCCCCCTTCCTCTCGCGCTCCGGGAGCACCCCACCCCCCTCCCTTCCCCAAAGGGGGGGAGCTGAGCTACCCCCCTCCCTTGGACCTCCCCTGCCAGAAGCCCTCCGCCCTCCTTTTTGTTCCGCCCCTCGGGAGCTACCTCCCCCCCCCTCCTTTCGCGCTCCGGAAACTACCCCCCGCGCCGCAAAACCAAAAGTGTCCCGAGAACCCAAATGGCGCCAAGAACCCAAAAAGATCGAAATCCAAACGAACCGAAAGCCGAGGGAGCGCCGGAAACCAAAACGGCCCCGAAACCCATAAGAGCGCCGAAAACCACAGAACCAAAAACGCGCCGAAGACCAAAAGAGCGCCGACAACTACAGCGGCGCCGCAAACCAAAGGAACGCCCGACGAAAAAATATTCTCCGACAACCAGCAGAGCGTTGAAAACCAACGGACACCGCAAACACAAAGAGAGCCGAAAACAACAAGAGTCGCCGAAATCCAAAGAAGCCCGAACAAACCAAGACGGCGCGGAAAACTACAAATGTGCCGAAAACTTAAGGAGCGCAACAAAAAACGCACCGAAAACCAATAGGGCGCCGAAAACCTGTCAGACGCCGAAAAATTTCGATTCGCTGGACACCGACAAAGCGCCAACAAAACCTTAGAACGCCGAGAGCCAAAGCTACAGGACCGCCGAAAACAAAAAAGGCGCCAAAAACCATAAGAACACCAACAACTAAAAGGACCCAGAAAACCAACGATGCCCCAAGAACCCACGAATTGCCGAAAACCAAAGCGACGCCGAAAACCAAAGGTGCGCCGAATTCCGGAGCGGTCCCGAAAACCACACAGACGCCCTTTCCCTTGATCCCTGCCGGAAGCCCCCCCCACCTTCCTCCCTGTTCGGCTAAAGGAGGAGAATGGTTTGGTAAGCCCTCTACCCCTGTGGTTGAAGGAGCGCCGAAAACCAAAAGACCGCCGACGATCAAAGGGCGACGAAAACTAAAGACGCGCCAAAATCCCAAAGAGCGCACAGCAGCAAAAAAACACCCGAACACCAAGGACGCGCCAAAATCCTAGAAGGCGCCGAATACGAAGAGGGCGCCGAAAGCCGAACGAGGTCCGAACATCAAATCGGTGGACACATGGACACACATAGCCCGCGCGAGTGCGCCAGAGGTATGTTGCGCCCCCCCCCCGGGCGGCGAACCGGCGGCCCCGGGAAAAACAACTGAAAATGAGACGAACCTTCGATGGAACGTCCCCCCCCCTCGGGCAACGCAAACCCACCAACGAAAAAGCAACAAAAAAAAAACTTTGAAGCCCCCCTTGGTAAACCAATATCAGCTGCGAAAAGGAGGGGGAAGCGGGGGTAGCTTCCGAAAGGGAAGCCCGGGCGAACCTGGGGCTCAGGAAAAGGAGGGGGGGGGGGGGTAGCTTTGAAGCCCCCCGCCCCCTTGGCACGGCAATCTCAGCTGCGGAAGGGGGGGTAGCTTCCGAAGCCCCCCCCTGTGGAAGGTACTCACGGGCTGGCCTTGCGCTCCGGGAAAGGAAAGGGAGGGGGGGGGCAGTTTTAAAGCTCCCCCATTTTGGCAAACCAATATCAGCTGCGAAAAGGGGGGGAGCTTCCGAAGCCCACCGCCCCCCTCCCTTTGAAGGAAAACCCCGGCTGACCTTCGGCCTCGAAAAGGAGGGGGGGAGTAGCTTCCAATCCCCCCCCCCTTTACCTAGGGCCGCCGTGGCGCCGAAATGTCCACAACAAGGGGGGGAGGGGGGAGCTTCGGAAGCTCCCCGCCCCTTCCCAAGGGAATGGGGGGGGTAGCTTCAAGCTGGGGCCCCCCGCTCAGTGAGCAGTCCGCCACAAGCGCGCTCTTGCGTGGCTCCTCCCCCTCCTCGCCTAGAAGGACAAGTTAGCCTGGCGAGGGACCCAACAGTGAGCGAGCCGACAGAGGCCAACAGTGAGCGAGCCGACAGACGTGCTCCCCGCCCTTTCCCAAGGGAATGGGGGGGGTAGCTTCAAGCTGGGGCCCCCCGCTCAGTGAGCAGTCCGCCACAAGCGCGCTCTTTCGTGGCTCGTCCCCCCCTCCTCGCCTAGAAGGACAAGTCAGCGCGGCGAGGGACCCCACAATGAGCGAGCCGACAGGCTTGCGAGACTGCTCGCGCCAGCCGCCAGCGCCTGGCTCGCCGGGAAGGCCCGTAGCACGGCCAGGCCGGACAGCGCCGCCGCGCCCGGGAATGGGCCGCGCCCTCGCACGAAGCCCCGCGGCGGGCGCGGTCGGCGCGCGCGGCGCCGTGAAGCCGCATCAGCAACGGCAGCCACCACAGTGACGAACAACACCTCGTGAGGGATGGCATTCTCGCGGCGGCTGCGACAGCAGCGCGCCTGCACCCTGGGCACCAGGCCGCAAGACCCTCATGCTAGGACAACGTCGGGCGATCCGTCCTCCGGTTGGCTGTTGAAACTGCACCCCCTCGATTTCACGATTTCATGCAACAGATGCAAGTCGGGCAAGCTCAGCCTACACCGAAGAGAGAGAGAGAGAGGGAAACACAACAAAAAGGAGGGGCATGCCAGGCGAGTCCTCGTACCCCCCCCCCAGTTCCTGGCAGCTGCTTGCCTAGCGCCTCCTCCTCCTCCTCCTCCTCCTCCTCCTCCTCCGCCTCCTCCTCCTCCTCCTCCTCCTCCTCCTCCTCCTCCTCCTCCTCCTCCTCCTCCTCCTCCTCCTCCTCCTACCACGTCCTCCCACGTCCTCGTCGTCTCCCTCTTCATCCTGCAAAAAAATAGAAGGGCTCGCGGTGGGGCCTCGAGGGCGGGCGAGAACCGCAGCCGCAGCGCGGAGAACACCGCGGACGCCCTCATGTACGCCTCGAACTGCCTCTCGTCGGGCCAAGGCTTAAGTCGGGCGTGTCCCCCTATAGGGGGATGTTGGACGAAACATAACAAAAGTAACAACATACCCCGAGATTGTCAAAAATAGAAAAATCGTCCCCAGACTATGTTTACGATCTTTGAATATTCCTTCTGTAGAGGGACAGGCCCGACTTAAGCTAAGGCTGCAGAAAAGGCTCACTGCCGTTTGGCGGCCAAGCTTCAGGGATGCCGCTCTTGGCGGCGCACCGACAGGGAAGACCCGCGCCTTCTGAGAAGAAGGGGTGCTTCTCGACAGCCCTGCCCCCTCCCCCATACCCCCTCTGCGTGTAGCCGACATTTGGGGGGGGGCTCCCAAGGCGGGACGGCTCCAGCATGCTGGGAGCGCCTGTTTCATCACCTGTCTGGTGCTGCTGATCTACGTTGTTTTACGTGTTGCTTCGCGTCAACACACCAGGAGCCCCTGGGATGCATCGCAAGACGCATGGGGGGCGGAATCCGTTCCAACTTGAAACGCGGAGGCTTGCTTTCGTTCCCCCCGCCTCCCGCAAGCAAGGAAGAGGCGGTCCGAGTGCGACATCAGGCATGGCCTTCAAGAGCATCGCCGCTCGCTTCCGGGAAAGATCGAGGCCCCGCTGCTGGCGCTGGGCGCGCTGCTACACTCCAAAGGGCTCCACGGACACGCCAATCGCCCACGCGAAATCCCCCGCGCGCGGGCGCGACGGCTGCTCGGAGCCCGCGCGCGGGCGTGGCGGCTGATCGGAGAGCTGGGCGTGCAAGCGAAGCGGCGCCGCCGCGCTGCCGCGTTTTGGCCGACTGGAGGGTAAGGTGCTGACCACACTGGCACGCTGATGTCGGGAGGCAAGTCCTGGAAGGCCTGCGCAAGAGCAGTTCGGGGCAACTGGGCCCGAGTTGGGAGCCACTGAGCGGGGTTGGGCCAAAGGGAGCCCAGGAGTCCGCCGCATTCAGCGACAATGAACCGGACTGAGCGGAATTCAGATTAAGCGGGAGCGTGCTGGATTGATCTGAATCACGATCACGGATATACCAGCGCCGATGCTGAGTTCAATCTCCCATGAGTAGCATCAAAATTGATGGCCCTTTTGTGGACCAAGTTGGCTCCGACAGCCACGTCAGCTGACGGCGCAGACGCGTGCAAGTTTAAAGAAGCTCCCAAGGAGCACTGCAGGAAGCTCCTAAGAAGCAGCCAAAGCAAGATATCACACGTCACAGCAGGCCTAACAATGAGGATGTCAACTGACACACGTGTGGGTTTCATACCACCTGAGAGAGCTGCTTCATGCTATGACACATGTCAGCCCTCTGGCATCTGCCAAGAGGTATCACGCGTAGAGCATATCTGCGCCCGAAGGCACGAATTACACTTTTCTCGAAGCTGCCGATGAGCGTCTCATTGCCGCGTGCCTATGGCCTTACGGGTGGTTCTCGAATTGGCTACCTACCAGGCCACCCCAACCCAACCCGAAGACCCGGCTTTCGGGTTGGGGGGGGTACGGGTTCCATGTGTTTTCTCGATGTTCCCCGAGCCCCCTCCCACTGGAAACGGAGGGCAGATTGAGGCCTTCGGGTTGGGTTGGGGTGGTCTGGTGGCTGGTGACGAATGCCGCCGCATTGCGTGCTGCACTGCCACGATGGCAAAACTTGCCGCAGGCACCTGGATTAAACTGACGAAGTCATATGTATACGTATGCACTTCAACAGGGCAGCTTGAAAATGTACAAAATCTTCGTACGATGCACGATACCCCAGCCAACAAACCTCGGCCTGGAACCGACAGGCAAGTGCAACGGCCTTCAACCTTCGAACGATGCAGCTGAATGCGAATGCATTCGAGGTGGATCCGTTAGGACTTGCGAGAAGCCGACACGTTTGATTGTGCACCCGAGCCCCCAGGGAAACCGGCATCAACTACACCTCGATGCCGCCAAGCGGGTGCTCCCCATGAATAGAACGATCATGATTTCATTCTAGTATTAGCTCAGGATACGATCCAGGATTTCGACGGAGCCTAGCAGCCCTTCTTTCTGGAGCCCGTTGTGGTCCATGTAGAATCCTGGGAATTCTGGAAGCCTCGGAAATCTGGGAAACCTTGGAACGTACCTTTTTCATGACGTGTTGGTCCTCTGAAGGATGCCCCTGGCCTGGGAAGGCCTTGCAGAACACCCCAACCTGCAGCCCACACGCCCCGTCTGTCGCGCAGCTCATGCCACCACCTCCGCCTCATCGGACGCGCCCGCCTGCCAGACCCGTCAGAGCCGCCACACGCCTTGCACGGGCGTGCCACACTCGTCCGCCAACTGCTCGGCGTCGCTCGGTCGCCGCCCTCGGGAGCGGAGCGCCAACCCTTGCGCAGGCCCGCCCCGACCGAGCGCCGCGCCCACATGCCAGCGGAGCGAGGCCCCACATGGCCATCGAACCCCCCTGGTCACCAACGCCCCACAGAACCCCCAGAACACCTGCCAGCAGTGCCCCTGGTTTCCCGTCATTTTGGAGGCGGCCGGGGCCCAGGGGTCTAGGCTGGATGGGCCCACAGAGAAAGCTGGCCACGAGGACGAGGGCGAAGCCATGCAAATCTCGGAGGGCAGGGGCAAAGGTGGGGTTGGAGGCAAAATCGCTCCGGAAGGCCCCTGGAAGAAGGAAGCGCGTGAAACGGGAGCATCTGGCTGGACCCGTTCCCCAGCCCCACCTTGGGATAACCCTCCCTGCGCGAACCTCCGAGAATCCGCTCAGAATCGGTCCCCCGACCCCTGCCGGGATCGGGACTGGCCAGGTCTTCGAGACGCGTCCCGCTGTGGAGACCAGGGTGCCCCCTTCTCCCCCCTGCCTCCCGGCCAGGACTACTGCTGGGCCGCCCCAGCGCCCCCCCCCAGCCAGCTCCAACCTTGCGGCATCCCCGCGTCCTTCCCATGGGACGCACAGAGACATACTGGTACTGATGCCCTCCTTGGGGGCGCGCGTCCGACCCGAACATAGATGAACCAGAAAACAGACGACACCACCCCACCTACGACCCCACGGGCCTTAACATACACCAGAAATTCCGGCTTGGGCTTTTGCGTGATGTACGCCACAGCGCCCGACGGGCCGTAGCGCAAAATGGAGGGCCGTAGGTGGGGTGGTGTCATTTGTTTTTGATGTCGAATAGAGTATACCCATCTTGTAGTATATCGTCTCCCGATCGGTGTGGCCAGAAAGCGCCCGCCACGACGCCCCTGGGGGGAGCGACGCACTCATAGTATCATGTTGGGGTGACGCCAATTCCCTTCCTCCACACACACACACACACACACACGCACACACCCCTGCTCCGATGAGAAGCCGCGCTCGGCATCGCGGCTCCTCCCCGACCCTGTCCACGGCCACACCCTGCTCCAACCGTGACCCATAGAGCATCTACCAGAAGTGCCTGCTCCTTCTTCCCTTCGCTCTAAACTCTGCCCAAGGATCGAGGACCCGCCTGGCCATCTCCAGGCTGAGGTCCACGCCGAATCTGGCCTGGCACAGGGGAGCGGCAAAACAGTCAGGTCGGCGATGGGTCCCACGGGAATTGCTCGAGTGTGCCGGAGCCGCCCGAGCACTGACCTGACCCGGGGCCGCAGTGACCCGGGGTCGGTGCTCCGGTCTCCTGGCCGCCACCTGAAGGGACTCGGCCGACCCCGGACGCCGACCAGGCCCTTCTCCCTGACCCCGAAAGGCAGCGCGGGCAGCGGGTGCCAGCGGGTGCTGCGCGAAGTGCCCCTGGCCCCAGGCGGGTGCCCCCACGAGGGCTCGAGGGCCCCAGGCGGCCCAACACCGGGCAAAAAGCTGGGGGTCACCTCGGGCCAGGGGCACCTTTAGCACCCCCCAGCAGGGGGGGGAGGAGGAAAGGGAGCCCCTGCGCTTGCCGCGTGCCCATGGCGAGGAGGCCGAGGCGCGGAAGCTCCCTGGCGCCTGCCGGTACAAGCTGTACCGTCCGCTGCCCGAGAGGTCCCGACCGCTTCCACGGGGCTCTGGGGCGCGAGTTTACGGGGGGCGATCAATGGGGGATGGTGACCTCTGCGGGCCCTCGAGGCCCCCTTGGCCCGTTTACGGCCCTAAGGGGCCCCTTTTTCGGCAGCCATCGCTGCCCCCCCCCCCTCCCTTTATCGCACCCCCCCCCCTTGCGCGTCCTCCGAGGCTCTCCGTTCTTGCCCCAAGGCCCAGAAGCGGCCCCCGGGGGCCAGGGTCGAAGAGCAGAGCCGCCAGTGCTGAAGCTCACGTCGTCGGTCTGGGCTCCCGCGAGGGTCGGGGGGGCTCCAGAGAAGGTCTTGTGTTTGCACGGTTTCCCCCGGGGGCCGTAGGCGACCCGAGGAGGAGGAGGAGGAGGAGGAGGAGGAGGAGGAGGAAGGGTGAGGAGGAGGAGGAGGAGGAGGAGGAGGAGGAGGAGGAGGAGGAGAAGGAGGACGGGTCGCCTAAGCCCTTCGGAGAAACCCTCCTCTTGTGTTCGGTTACATGCAAAGGATGACTGTGGGCAGGAGGGACCTTTGCTGCGCGGCGTCTGGGGAGGGGCGCGAGGGAGCCCCACCCGAGCGGACAGGCCGCTGCTGTCGCATCACGGACAACGGTCGGGGGTCCCCAAGGGGCCCGCAACCAGAGGTCACTCCGGCCAAGGGTCACTCTTACTTGGCGGCGCGCACAAGGGTGCGTAGGGAGGGGGGAGGGCTTCTTCGAAGGAGGCGGCTTCTTAGACGGCGGCGGCCCTGTCTCTGCAGACGAGGCCCGCGCCTTCTAAGAAGCAGGGGTGTTTCTAAGAAGCCCTCCCCCCTCCCCTCACCCCCCTCTGCGCGTGGTTGACTTACGTGTAGCCGATGTTTGTTATGTCCGGCGGCGGTCGTGACCCGGGGAGGGGAGGGGGGCTCCGCGTGACCATGACGCTTGAGCCGCGATCGCCATGATGAATCTGCTCTCGAGCACCAGCCCCTGCAGGGGCGGGGTCCAGACCCGCCCCCTGCGTACGATCGCTACCGCTACCCGCGTGGGCGGGGGGGCGCCGTGTGCAGACAGTTCCGCGCCAGAGCAAAACAGCCCGGCGAGGCGCCTCGAGAATCGGGTCGGGCGAAAGGGGGGCGAGGCGCCTCGAGAATCGGGTCGGGCGAAAGGGGGGGATAGCAAAGGGGGGGGTGAGAATCAGCTCCCGTAGCTGCTTTTCCCAGCGCCTCCTGGCGCTGGGAGGCGCCCATGTATCGAGGGATGGGCCCGGCGGCGGGGACGAAACCAGCTGCATGCAGCAAATTTCGTAACCCCCCCTTTCCCAATCCCCCCCTTTCGTCCGGCCCGAGAGAACCCCGCAGCCCGCGGACCTCGGAGGCGGCGGTGGCCACCCCGTGCGCCCGGCCCCTCGGGCCCTGGGAGCCCCTGCGGGAGGTCTCCCCCAGGGGCAACGCCCGCCGGCCGATCGAAGGCCTGCGGGGAACACGGAGGGTGGACGTCGGAGGACGACTACGACGACGACGACGACGACGACGACGACGACGACGACGACGACGACGACAACGACAACGACGACGACGACGACGACGACGACGACGACGACGACGACGACGACGACGACGACGAGGACGACGAGGAGGACACGAGCAGAGCGAGAGCGAACGACGAGGTGGCAAGGGAGAGGGCACCCAGGCCGTCTGCATCCTTCCTGTGCCCCGGGCAAAGACGGGCTGCCGCGGGCCGAGCGGGCCGGGGGGGCCAGGGCCCGCAGCGCCCAGCACGCGAGGGCGCGATCCCTCCTCGGAGTCCCGCAGCCCCTCCTCCTCCTCCTCCTCCTCCTCCTCCTCCTCCTCCTCCTCCTCCTCCTCCTCCTCCTGGAGGCCGGCTTCGGGCCCTGGAGCACCCACGGATCGATCCAGCTCGAGAAACGCCGCAGAGGGATGGGGAGTCCAGTGCGCAGGCGGTGATCTCCCGCGGTGCTGCAACATGCTTGCCACGTCGGATCTCGGGGCTGGCCCGTGGAAGGTGCTTCCCACAGAGGCACGATGTCCCACACGGGGCCCCCGAAGTCCCGACGCCTTCCCTTGGGCCGGCCTGCGTCGCCGTCTGAAGGCCCTGGGCCCCAACCAGGGCACCCAAAGGGCGAAAAACCTCTGCACCGCTTTTCCAATGCGTTGGAGTTCTGGTCCCCTCTTCCCCCGCTTCTCTGATCCCTCGGCCTGTGGATCTGATTATGTAGCCCATCTGGAAAAAGGAAGTTCTGGAAATCACGGACACTGTGGACATCTTGCATCGTGTCATGATCACGACTTCTTGCTCATCGGATCCCTGACCCTGGAGGCGGCCGGGGGGTCTGAACTGGTTGGGGCCCCAGAAAATCGGCCAGGAGGGGGGCCGAGGCCCACTCCGCTCAAAATCGGCCCCTGGACCCCTCCCACGATCCGTCTGGTGCAATTGTTCACCCAAGACCCGCTTCTGACGGTCCCGGGGCCCGGACACGGCCCCCTGAGGCTGGGGGGGGAAACAAAAAAAAACAAAAAAAACAAAAATAAGAAAACATAAAAAATAAACAAATTTAAACAAAAAAAAAAAAAAAAAAAAAACGGGTCAAGAACCTCGAACCGGCCCGCCCGTCCGCTGCTCGCCGGAGCCGGTCCTTGGCCACCGTGAGACCCGCAGCAGGCTCCAAGCCTGACTCCGTCCTCTCGGGCCACCTCGGCCAGCGGCCAGCAGAGGGCGCATCGCCGCTTCCCCGAGCGGTCTCCGGTGGTGCCAGGAGGCCCGAGAGAGGCAGCAGGGGCTCGTGGAGGGGATCCGGAGAGGCAGCTCCTAGCATGGGTCGGCCTCACGAGTTGTTTCCGTTTTCGTTTCGTTTTCGTTTCCCCTCGTCTTGTCTTCAATCCACCTTCGCCGCAAACGAAAGCGAAACGACAACGGCCCACGAACTCGCCAAAACACCGCCCTGGCTCCTAGGCTCGCAGGCCTGGACGGGTAGGTGGCGACATCCGAACCCTCCCCCACCAACCATCGGTTCTCCTGAATCGAGGGGAGGCGGGGATTCGAATTTCGCCACCGACGAATTCCGAACTCTACCCCCGCAATCGATCGAGTCGCCCGAATATTTGATCGGCGAGGGTAGGGCCGCTTCCTCTCTTGCCGCACCCCGATGAGAGCAAGATTGATGTCCCTGTCCACTGCGTCTTGGACTTTCTGGGAAGGGGCGCCACAAGGCTGGGGCGCAGTAGATGAGGATTACATCTAGCCTATAGGAGCCAGATGTTTCTCCATGTCCACTGCGCCTCGGTTTCTGGGAAGGGAGCCCGACACTCCAAGACGCAGTTGATGTGCAAACGAAGATTGCCCGCACTCAGAGCTGGAGGGACGAAGACTGAGGTGCAAGAAGATACCCCAACAGCATCTGGGCCAGCCGCACTGCGAGCCGCAGCACGTGGGACAGGACCCGCAGGGACCCAGGGCGAAACCATATGCTCTCGACGCGGCTGCTCAGACGCGCTTCGACTTCGCCACCTCAGAGCATCCATTAGACTGCGAAAGACCGGGGTATACTCATGGGAGCCTCCCATGCCATCTTGCTGGCTGCTCTTGCGAATCGACGCTAACCGACGCCAATCGACGCTAATCGACGTCAATCGACGCTACTCTACATCAATCGACGCTAAACCAGCGCTCTCTCCACGATCACCACATGCTAACGCACACGAATGCACTCTGAAGACGAATTACGAGAACGCACATGGCTCATGTCAGCTGCTACCGAACGAGACCACGCTACGCGGCCAGATCGTGCCGTGCTGTGTGACTGGAAGTGCTTGGCGCTTGGCGTACGGCCCGATGTTGAAGTGAAAGCTACACTTCACACGAGCAGGCACACACTGGCATGCAACAGCATGGACGCACGAGCAAGAAAGCGTGAAGGGGGAAACATGTTTGTTTTCACCGATGCTCGGCGAGCACAATGGCACAACCACTCGGGGAGCAGAACGGCATCAGTCGAACACCTACAGTATTGAGGCTGGCATCCAATGCTGGCGGCTTTCGCGACCAGGGTCATCGACTCGCCAAGTTCTCAACAGCAAGAGAAAAGGCAGCCCACCGAACATTGAAGTTCGTGATGCCAATTGTCGTGATACGGGACCTACCTGTTTGTCGGGCCAAAGTGGAAGTCGTAAGACTGAGAGCAAGACCGGCGTGAGCTGGGGTTCAAGGTGAAGATGTTTCACCGGGGTGACTGGGTGCATCAAACCTGCGAAAATACCAGCGCTATGGGTAAAGGTGGCCTGCAGCCTTAGGCAGGATGATGCTTCTGCCTAACTGGTCGCACTGATGCGGCGGTAAGCGTATTATCCCGTCTTAGCAGGAAAGTTGGCAATGCCAGCGCGGGATGCCCCGATGTAAGCACACCTCTGCGCCCACTTCAAGATTGTCTTCTTGCTTCCTGAACGAGTTGGATCCTCCCACACTCACAACCAGACGACAACGCTGACGACGACGATCACGACGACGACGACCATGACAACGACAGCGAC